AAAAAAAAAAAAAACAGAAGAATTTAAGAACTGCTGGACTGGGAATCTGGCTGAAGTGGTAGAATGACTGCCTAACAAATTAAGGCTCTAATTTAAGCATTAGTACTGCCAAAAATAAAAATGCTGTGGGCCAGGTATGGTGACACACTCCTGAAATCCCAGCTACTCAAGAAATAGAGATCAGAAAGATTGAGGCCAGCCCTCAAAAAAACTTAGTAAGATCCTCATCTCAACAAACAACCTGAGCCTGGAGATATATCCTGTAAACATAGCTCCAAAGGCAGAATAGTGAAAAGGATCAAAATCCAAGGCCAATCCTGGGCAAAATACACAAGGCCTAACCTAGCAAGACAATGCCAAGGAAGTACAAGGCCCTAAATTCAAAGCTCAGTGCCACCAAAAAAAAAAAAAAAAAAAAGAGTTGCTATGAACATTTCAATACTAATATTTTTCTGTATCAGAAATTGTCATGATATATTAAGTATGTATTGAACTCAGGAATTTGTGATTACTAGACAAGTTCTCCACCAGTTAAGCTATGCCTCAGCTGGAAAAGATACTTTAAATAAATTTTTAAGCTATCCATGAGTATTAAATATATTTATCTTGAAAACTGTTTAATAAGACCAAGAAAGTATCTAGAAGCATGTGGTTTTTTTTTTTGTCGATCGTGGGGCTTGAACTCTGGGCTTAGGCGCTATCCCTCAGCTCTTCAGCTCAAGGCGAGCACTCTACCACTTGAGTCACAGCGCCACTTCTGGTTTTCTAGTAGTTTTTTGAGTCTCATGGACTTTCATGCCTGGGCTGGCTTTGAACCACAATCCTCAGATCTCAGCCTCCTGAGCAGCTAGGATTACAGGCGTGAGCCACCAGTGCCCAGCTTGTGGTGGGTTTTTTTAGACAACATAAGAAAGTAAGTTGAGCCATCGTGTAGGAGATAAATCATAAGTTTGAAAAGGACAGTAAAAGTATCCATTGACAGTTTGGGCTTCTTGGAGATGTGCCTGCTGTGTATACTATCTCCCTAAATCTGTTCAGGGTCAAGAATTGAAAAGGTCTGACCAATACACAGCCCATCTTGTAAAACTACAGCCTGAAGCAAGCACTTTAAAAAAAGCATGACACTTTCAAAAGGTTATAAAGAGTAAATAAACCATCAAATTACTCCTCTTTTATTGTTTTTGTAAAAACACTTAAATCCTTGTAGTCCTAAGGCATCTAATAAAAATAAACACTTTTAGGATTCTATATTCTGGGATACTTTATTGAACTTAGAGATGGGATTTTCTTGCTAAATTTAGTATTTTATTTTCTCACTGACAATTTCTTAGGAATTATTTTAAAAAAACTTTTAAAAGCTGCTTGAAGAACAGATAGAAAATGAAAGATAAATAATTTCTGAAGAAAGTGTGACAAATTAAAATCCTACTGTAGTAGAAGCACATGCTAATGCTTTATGGCTAACACCAAATACCCATCAATTTTCCAGGTAGGATAAAAATATTTATCCTATGAATTATAATACTCATAAAGGGGTATGAATCTATTCATTAGTAATTCCAGTAATTTTATGAGGCACTGAATACTGTTTGTTATTACACTACTAACTTCCCAGTTTTCCCTCATAATTTCCTTAGCAAATCATTGTTACTTTACCCAACACTCCACTGAATTTATTGTTTATTTAGAATTCAAAAATTTATTTCTATATAAATATTTTGCAAATTCAATGTGTCCTTTTTCTCAACTACAATAAAATTTTGTTTATAACTCTATTATGGAGCCAATGACTCACACCTGTAATCCTAGTACTCAGAAGGCTGTGAGATCTGAGTATCATTGTTCAAAGCCATCCTAGGAGAAAAAAAATCCAGTGAAACTCTTATCTCCAATTAACTACCACAAAACCAGAAGTGGCACTATCAAAGTGATAGAGAACTATTCTTGAGTGAAAAAGCAAGGGGACAGTACCCAGGCCCTGAGTTCAAGCTTCAGGACTGGCAAAAATTTAACAAATACTAATAATAATTAACTACTTAATTTTTTTTTTTTTGTTGGTCATGGGGCTTGAACTCTGGGCCTGGGCGCTGTCCCTCAGCTCTTCAGCTCAAGGCAAGTACTCTACCACTTGAGCTACAGCACCACTTCCAGTTTTCTGGTGGTTTATTGGAGATAGGAGCCTCATCGCCTTTCCTGCCCAGGCTGGCTTTGAACCGCAATCCTCAGATCTCAGCCTCCTGAGTAGCTAGGATTACAGGGGTGAGCCACCAGCGCCCAGCTTACTTAATTAAATTTTAATTCTCTTATAGACTGAGAAAATTTGTAAAAAGTTATGAGTGGATAAAATGAATGGATAATAGTCTCAACTCTTCACGATAGAATCTTTAGTTACAGTGTAACATTATAAAATATTGTACTAGAAACCTATTTGTTTAAAAACCTTCAAGCCACTTTCAATTTTTAAATCTAAAAGATGTCAAGTTGAAATATGGATTTCTAATTTCTTTTCATTAGGACACAGGACCTCCAATTCAACATAATTCAACCACATTACATAATTATTATGCACTAAAAGATGTTGCATCTCAGAGATCAAGGATAGTTTAGATTAGAAAGAGTCTGGGAAGCAACAATATGCAGTCCTCTTACCTATATGGATTGAAGGCTAAAAAATTAATTTTATACTTCATTCTCTATTTTATATTGTAAGAAAAATATATAAACAAACATTAAGTTTAATAACAGGCATATTAAAGTAATTTGCAATTTATTTGAAAATGTATCAAAAAAAACAAAATCAATGCCAGATGGATATATTATCTAAGTACACAACAGAACCTAGATGGTAGGTACATTCAATTTCTAGTGCTGTAACAAATTATAACATTATTCTCTATAGATGAAAAGTTCTGGCCTTTTCATCTTTCGGCTGAGGGATGCAGATCTTCTGGAACCTCTGGGGAAGAATCTATTTCCTTTCCTCTTTCAGCATCACATTCATACATTTTCTAACATATAGTGCAGTGCTTTCCTCCACCTTCAAAGCCAACAGCGTAACATCTTCAAATCTATTTCTCTCATCACCATATCTATTTCTTTGACTCTGAGTCTCTTATTACCTCTTATAAGAACCTTTTTTGAGGGCTGGGAAGTTGGTTCAGTGGTAGAGTGCTTGCCTTGCATGCCTGAGGCCCTGGGTTCGATTCCTCAGCACCACGTAAGAAAAAAGCCGGAAGTGGTGCTGTAGCTCAAGTGGTAGAGTGCTAGTCTTGAGCTGAAGAGCTGAGGGACAGTGCCCAGGCCCAGAGTTCAGGCCCCATGACCGGACCAAAAAAAAAAAAGAACCTTTTTTGAAAAACTACTCAGGTAGGAGGCTGTGGCAAGAGGATAACAAGTCTGAAGCTAGACTGGGTTAAAAGCAAGATCCTGATTCAAAACAAAACAAAAAACCACACCTTTGTGACTACACTGCACATATAGAAATACAACATGATCTCTCCATCTCAAAATCCCTAATCACAACTGTAGTCTGTTTTGTCATATAAGCTAATATATTTTCATGTTTTCAGGACTAAGAGTATGGATATTCTTGGTTCCATTAGTATATACCAAGCTATATATTATATTCATATAGATATATAAGTATTCATTTTCAACTGTTTTTTAACTATTGTGTATATTTGAAATTTTCTTAATTTGAAAAAATTAAAGTCTAGCAAAACAGATGAAATATTGCCATCTGAATAAACATGAAAAATAAAAATTGCTTTCTTCCAATAAAAGGCAGAAAAAATTCCCATTTCCTCATCATTGAAATTTCAGTGGAAGTAGTATATATACTTACATTTATTCAAAAGACTATTCCTACTCTTTTAAGTCCAGTTTTTAGGAGCATTCAAAAAATAGCTCTCCTGGGCTGGGAAGGTAGCTCAGTGGTAGAGCGCTTGCTTTGCATGCATGAGGCCCTGGGTTCGATTCCTCAGCACCACATAAGCAAAAAGTAAAAAGCCGGAAGTGGCGCTGTGGCTCAAGTGGTAGAGCGCTAGCCTTGAGCTGAAGAGCTGAGGGACAGCGCCCAGGCCCAGAGTTCAGGCCCCACAACCGGACCCAAAAAAAAAAAAGGAATTTTATTCCTTGAACTCAGAATATTTATAATATACATTTACTTTGTTAAAAGCTTAACCAATGCCGTTTTGTTTAATCACTTCAAAGGCACCTATCTTATAACTTAATAAAAATGTAATATCCCCAAGAGTAGTTATTTTTAATCAACCATGGTATCTAATGCATGTGTAAGACACAATAATGAAACCTCTTTAAACAATTAACATTTTAACAACAACAAAAGAATATTAGGAATTTGAAACATTTCATGTCTGAAGTGTTGACATTAGTGGGAGGGGGAAGACAAATGAAGAAAGGGAGGGAGGATGAATATAGACAAAATACTTTAAATACGTGTGTAAAAATGGAACTCGGCAACTTGATGAGACTGGTTTAGGGAGGGAAAGGAGGGAGAATGGTTACAGGGATGATTATGATCAGAAGGCACTGTATACATAAATGGACTTGTTAAAATGAAACCCCCTTGTACAACTCATTCATGTCAATAAAAAAAAAACAGCTTACCCTCCTCATTCGCAATTCTTCTAATGCTTCCAGTAAACTTGTTTTAAAATCTAAGAGCTGAATAGAAACCATTGTCTCTGAAGAACTTTGAAGTGTAACGATAGATGATGATTCAGAATTGAAATTGTTCTCCATATTAACATTTCCTGTAATATAAAAGGTTTCAAATGAAAAAAAACATGTTTTTCAAGTAGATACCATAAAAAACTAACAACCTGTATGTCATGATCCCCCCCAAGATAAACACTGAATAAGTTTTGTATTACTCCTATCCAATGCCCCCCTCTCTCTTTCTCTCTTTCTCTCATTTGGTAGCAATAGTCTATTCTATATACCTAAATAGCCCTGGAGACTATATTTAAGCCTTTAAACACAAGGCTTCCAAAGGCTGGGTTCTAAATATTACTATCAAGGGTTGAGCCCTCACTAGTTGAAAGACAAATACACATTCTCTTCCTAAACTTTGTCTTGTCATAGCTATTTTGCAAGGATTAAATGAACATTAACTCATAATAATGCAATCTTCAAACTCAATAAAAAGGCCTCACACAGAAGCCCCTTCATTGTCATATCCATTCCCTTCCCCTAATCTTTTTTTTTGGGGGGGGGTCCGGTCGTGGGGCCTGAGCTCTGGGCCTGAGTGCTGTCCCTCAGCTCTTCAGCTCAAGGCTAGCACTCTACCACTTGAGCCACAGCGCCACTTCCGGCTTTTTTTCTTTTTGCATATGTGGTGCTGGGGAATCGAACCCAGGGCCTCATGCATACAAGGCAAGAGCTCTACCACTGAGCCACCTTCCCAGCCCCCTTCCCCTAATCTTAAACCCTAGCAAATTTCAAATGAATTGGTTAAGGAAAGTTGTATTATGTTGGGTGATAATTTTAAAACCCTCAACTTATTAAAACAGTTTGAAATGAAGACATTAGTAATGTCTATAAGAACCTTGCAGAAACAAACAAAAATTTCTTCCAGAGGGCTAGGAAGGTGGCTCAGTAGTAGAGTGCTTGCCTTGTATGCATGAGGCCCTGGGTTCAATTCCTCAGCACCACATAAGCAGAAAAAGCCAGAAGTGGTGCTGTGGCTCAGGTGGTAGAGTGCTAGCCTTGAGCTGAAAGCTGAGGGACAGTGCCCAGACCCAGAGTTCAGGCCCCACGACCAAAAAAAAAAAAAAAATTTTAATTTCTTCCAGAATAATGTAATTTTATCCCAAGTACTCAATAAATTTTCAGAAATATATTTTCAGAAAAAAAGAAACAGCACACAAATGTAAGAGGCATGGAAATCCATGTGGTATTATTAGAGCCAATTGAAAAGCATATGGGTGGGGCTGGGAAGGTGGCTAAGTGGTAGAGCGCTTGCCTTGCATGCATGAGGCCCTGGGTTCGACTCCTCAGCACCACAGAAGCAAAAAGTAAAAAGCCGTAAGTGGCGCTGTGGCTCAAGTGGTAGAGTGCTAGCCTTGAGCTGAAGAGCTAAGGGACAGCGCCCAGGCCCAGAGTTCAGGCCCCATGACCGGACCCAAAAAAAAAAAAAGAAAAGAAAAGCATATGGATGGAAATAAATACACACATATTGCAGATTTTTGCTTTATCTCATACAACATATATGAGCAACTATGCTTACCATGTTTAAAGAAATAAAGCAAAACAAAATTACCTAAAAAAGAGTAGATATTTTTTGTTTTGGGTTTTTTTTTTTTTTGATAAAGGGTTTCCCTAGGTAGCCCGTTATCCTTAAACTCAGGGAACAACTGTAGGCTAGCCTCAGAATTGAGATCCTCTTATCCAAAGTGCTAGGATTGAAGGTGTGTACCACCACACAATCTGTGTGTGTGTGTGTGTGGGTGTGGTATTGAGGCTTGAACTCAGAGCCTTTTGCTCTTGACCTGATTTTTCGACTCATGGCAAGCACACTACCCACTTAAGCCACACCTTGCTTCTGGATTTTTTTCTTGTTAACTGGAAATAAGAATCTCATTGACATTTCTGCCTGGGCTGACTTTGATCATCAGATTTCATCCTCCTGAGTAGCTAGAATTATAAGCATAAGCCACTAGCACCTGGCCACTGTGCCAATGATTCCTTCTTTTTTGGGGGGAAGGGGGGGTCCGGTCGTGGGGCCTGGATGCTGTCCCTCAGCTCTTCAGCTCAAGGCTAGCACTCTACCACCTGAGCCACAGCACCACTTATGGCTTTTTTCTTTTTGATTATGTGGTGCTGAGGAATCGAACCCAGGGCCTCAGGCATGCAAGGCAAGCACTCTACCACTGAGCCACCTTCCCAGCCCCCAATGATTTCTTCTTGAGATAATAAAATATGCTCTGGAAATTAGTAGTAGTGGTAGTTGCAACCTTCAGAATACACTAAAAAAACTAAATTGTATATTTTAAAGAGTTAATTTTACAATATTAGAATTCTATTTTGGTAAGATTATGTTTTAGGAGTGAAAAAATAAAAATAACATTTTAATAAGGAAAGTTTTTCTTCAGAAAAAAAAGGAAAATGAATTTGTCTTTACAAAAAAAAAAAAAGAAAGAAAGATGAAGCTGAGAATGTGGCTTAGTGGTAGAAGGCTTGCCTAGCATGCATGAAGCCCTGGGTTCAATTCCTCAGTACCACATAAGCAGAAAAACCCAGAAGTGACACTGTGGCTCAAGTGGTAGAGTGCTAGCCTTGAGCAAAAGAAGCCCAGGGACAATGCCCAGGTCCTGAGTTCAAGCCCCAGGACTGGCAAAAAGAAGGAGGAGGAGAAGGAGGAAGAAGAGGAGGAGGAGGAGGAGGAAGAGGAGGAGGAGAAAGAGGAGGAGGAAAAAGGAAGGAAGAAGAAAGGAAGAGGGGAAGAAAGAGAGAAAGAAAGAAAAGAAAGAAATAAGGAAAGAAAGAAAGGAAGAAAGGAAGGAAGGAAGGAAGGAAGGAAAAGAAAAGAAAGCCAGGCTCTGGTGGCTCACACCTGTAATCCTAGCTACTCAGGAGGCTGAGATCTGAGGATCATGGTTCAAAGCCAGCTCAGGCAGAAAAGTCTGTGAGACTCTTATCTCCAATAATCCACTCAGAAAACAGGAAGTGGTGCTGGGGCTCAAGTGGTAGAGCACGAGCCTTGAGCTAAAGAGCTGAGGGACAGCACCCTGGCCCAGAGTTCAAACCCTACAACCAACAAAAAAAAGGGGGGGAGGGAAGGAGGGGGGGAGGAAGAGAAGGGAAGGGAAGGAAGGAAGGAAACTCAAGCTAGATATGGAGGCTCACATCTATAATCCTAATTATTCAAGAATTAGGATCAGGAGGATTACTGTTTTAAATGACAGCCCAAGCAAAAAGTAAAAAGTCCAGGTGATCTTTTCTCAACCAATAGCTGGTATGGTATTATACCCCTGTCATACCAGATACACGAGAGGCTGAGATTAGGAATACTACAGTCAGGCCAAGCTGAACATAAATTTCACAAGACTCTATTTCAATGGAAGAAGTTAGGCATGGTGATTTGTGTCAGTCATCCCAGCAATAGCAAGAAGCATAATATAGGAAAATCACAATCCAGGTAAATACCAGTACAAGAAGTAAGACCAATCTCAAAAATAACCAGTTCAGGGCTGGGAAGGTAGCTTTGTGGTAGACTGCTTGCCTAGCATGCATGAAGCCCTGGGTTCAATTCCTCAGTACCACATAAACAGAAAAAGCCAGAAGTGGCATTGTGGCTCAAGTGATACAGTGCTAGCCTTGAGCAAAAGAAGCTCAGGGACAGTGCCCAGGCCCTGAGTTCAAGCCCCAGGACTGACCAAAAAAAAAAAAAAAATAGCCAGGCACTTGTGGCTCACACCTGTAATCCTAGGAGGCTGAAATCTGAGGCTCACAGTTTAAAGCCAGCCTGGGAGGAAAGTCCAAGAGACTCTTTTTTTTTTTTTTTGTGAACATGCTGTACAGAGGAGTTACAATTACATGGGCAGGATAATGCGTACATTTCTTACCAAGCATTGCAGCCTCCTCCTTTGTTTACTCTTCACATCCCTTCCCAGCCTCCCCCCTCCCCGCCAATCCCAATCCTTCTCCTTCCCCCCCTTCCCTCCCCCCACCGACGTTGTAAAGCTCATTTTGGACATGACAACTTGTACTTCTCATTGTTGCAACAGGTCCACCTGTATCCTTAAACAACTGGTTTTTCCCCATCTCCTCCACAAGTTATACTGACATCAAATATAGTGAAAGCAGGGATTATACTGTGGGGGAGGGACATACAAAGCAAAAAATAATAAAAGAGATAATCTTATAAATGCATTAGAAACACATGCATGAAAGAAAAAAAAGTCCAAGAGACTCTTATCTCTAATTAATCACCAGAAAATCAGAAGTGGTGTTGTGGCTCAAATGGTAGAACAATAGGCTTGAGCTGAAGAGCTGAGGGACGGAGCCCAGACCCAGAGTTCAAGCCCCACAAATGACAAAATAAAATTTTAAGAATTTTTAAAAAAATAAATAAAAAATAACCAGTCCAACTTGGCACCAGTGGCTCACATCTACAAAACCAGGCACTTACAAAGCTGAAATATGAGAATCACAGTTTAAAGCTAGTCCAGTCAGACAGTCCCAGAGACTCTTATTTCCAATTAACCAGCAAAAAGCCAGAACTGGAGGCACTGCTCAAGTGGAAGAGTGCCAGCAATAGGCAAAAAGATGAACAAAAGCATAAGAACCTGAGTTCAAGCCCCAGTACTGAAACAAAACAATAATAATAATAACAACCAGTACAAATAGGGGAATAGAAGTATAGTACAAGTGGGAACAAGTATTAGATGCTGATTTTAAACCATACATACCACTGAAAATTAAAAAAGAAAAAATTAAAAGAATAAAACCAATCTCTTGAGGAAGCTTGAAATACAAAATGATGAACAAGACTAATGTATAGTATATGCAGGAGTAAAACTCCAAGGTGTCGACTCTTTGAACAATTAAAACAGTTTAACAAAATAAATATCAAGAAGCTGAAACATAGCCGGGCGCTGGTGGCTCACGCCTGTAATCCTAGCTACTCAGGAGGCTGAGATCTGAGGATCATGGTTCAAAGCCAGCCCGGGCAGGAAAGACCGTGAGACTCCTATCTCCAATAAACCACCAGAAAACCGGAAGTGGCGCTGTAGCTCAAG